TGACATTAATGCTGTTTAAATAACATCGAATCAATAATATCGATAGATTACAGCTCCATAGTATCAACATAAAATAAGCTGAATGTCAGAAGAATTAGGAAAGATAATATTGCAAATTCATGAGTTTATAGTTTCTACTGAAGGCCAGGGCAATAGTAGGGGCTGGACTTGCTTCTTTTGGATACAGAGTGCTGGTTGATTGAGGCGAATCACAATGGCCTCTGCTGTTTGGAGCCTGTGGTACCTCGATGTTTTTGGTAATTTACTTGGCACCCAGTATAATATAGAGAAGGATTCATCTACACTGGCTTTGTGACCGGTTTGCACCAGATGTTCCAATATCGAGCTGTTAATAGTTTTCACTACATCTTTACTCAGCCATACGGGGAGATGTTCTCGAGCAAGCACGTAAAATCAAGTTCCTAGAGCAACGGCCAATATAACTGGCCCCACAACCGCATTTGAATTGATAGATACAATTAGAAGTGGCTAGTCTAGTTACTTCATCTTTCAGTCGAGGAATCACCGTCGGTCATGTAGAGAATGATACGTGTAGTTTGCCAGCATTAAAAGTTCTTTGAACTGATTTTCTTATTTTCTTCGTAATTATTTCACTTGGTATATCGCCCTTGAGTTGCGGTCGTATGAAAGTGGCTTCTTGTCCACAGATAGTGAGTAGTCCTTTTCCGTTTTCTTTGTCATGTGTTTCTTGATAAATTTGTCGGGATAGCCGTTTTCGATCAAAGTATCGCATACAATGCTTAATTCATCTTCAATTACTTCTTCTGAGCATATAGCTCTAAATCTGTGGAAATGAAAGAAAAGCACAGGGTAGAATAAGTTCTTTCTTCATATGAACAACTCTGAATCAAAAATGATCTACTGAAGGTTATTATTTTATCTGTAGATCCTGTAGGAAGAGGAGTTAATATGCAAGTAAATACTCTAGGGACTTCTGTACTGTGTTAACCTAGTGTCTCAAATAAAGTTTTATGATCTTAAGAAGTCATTGTGAAAGCAGAATGTGGATGCTGTTATAGAATGTAATTCCATATCACATATTTGATATAACACACACGATGAGTGAAGACGGTATTATTGACTGGATGATGTTTCCAGTAAAATTTATTGATAATTAACAAACAATCATATGAATATATTCACACGGCTGTATGATTTATTTTGTATATTGTTCGTCTCCCCATTGTTGTTTGTCCCACTTTTCCGTTTATCTGATACAAGTGTTGCGTCATTTCCATTGTATGTATTCAGTGTTGAAAAGATCAAAGAAAACTTCCCTGATTAGCCTCTCTCCTTCTCTCTCTCCACTTAACCACATTACCTTCGAGTTATTTTATTTATTATTACTTTTTCCTTTAATTCCTAGAGGAACATAGGGCTTCAGCTGCCCACGTCTCCATTGCCTTCTGTTTTCTGCCAACTTTTCACCCCGCCCCAAGTCTGCCCACGTGCTTTCATCTCCTCCTCACATGACCTCCTCCAAGTCACGCTTGCACTGACCACCAACTCGCCGCTTCCCTTTCGGGTTCCACTCGAACGATGGCTTGTCTAGTGATGTCACTTGATGGTTTCCTCAGCGTATGGCCAGCCAATCCATCTCCATTTCTTCCTGCCTATTTGTTTCACAACCGGTTCCTTCTGGGTTGGTTCGCTCATTGCCAGAGATCCCTCCATGTCGCTGATCTTTTCTGACCGGCCATCTGATTTTGAGTAGTATTGAGTGAAGACAGCTGTTGATGAAAGTCTGAAGTTTGTTTGAGATGCTCTTTATGACTCGCCAAGTCTCTGATCGGTATGCATAGTAGCACTGACCTCACATTGGAGTTGAAAATCCAGATGTTATTTTTGATGGTGAGTTCTGTTTACCTCTACACAGACTTAAGGGTAATGAAAGCCTGTCTTGCTTTTCCGATTCCGGCTTTGATATCCTCGAATGCTTTTACCCTATTCCACTCTATTGTTCAGTTGCACGCAAGTAAACAACGTATTCCGATGACTGAGTTTAATCCTGTATATTATTTTACTGAACAGGGTTAATCATTCTAGACTATATCTAACTAAATTCTTATAAACCTCTATCTACTTGATTGGTCTGTGTGTAATGGATCTTACAGTCATTATACGGTATTAAGTTAATTAATTATACTGTATTTCTCGGTTGGATCTATTGGATCACTAAGCCGATATAGGTAGTCTCTAAGTGAGTGAGTCAGTTGGTTGGTTTCAATGCCCCTCCCCGCTTAATTCCATCTCTATTTATAATCCTAAGTAAGGCTTGTAATATATATATGGCTGTACTATCGGGGCTTTAAGTTCCTTATTATCCAGTTATTTTGTAACCCTGTATCACTGTATATTAAATTAAATAAACTTATCCAACTTATGGAAGGCTGTTGATTCAAAAGTTTAAGTTCTTTCAAATATCAAGGTTAGTCTTACATCAAAAATTATAAACGCAAAGGTATAGTTTTTATGTTATAAGAAACACTTACACACTGACCTTGTATGGGAGTGGAATGAAAATTATCATTTATCAGAGTAAGCACGTTTCCACGAAAAAGCAGTAAGTGGATTTTCAATTTGTGTGTGTGACTGCAAAGTTCTGTAATTTCACAAAACACATGGCTTCTGATATCTGGGAATGATTTTCCGATTATAGTGAACCACAAGATGACCACAAGTAGTATGTTCTTAATAGAACATACTGATACGTGATGAAAACAAGTCTATATCACTTCAGTATTTAACATACTTTGTTCTATTTTACCGATTACATATGTCGCTAATGTGAAGGAAATGGGATCACCTAACATACTGAATGCTTCATATTCATTATTAACAAACGTTTCACCTCATTCCATCCATTCCATCTATGTATGATTATTTATTGTTGTTCTTTAGGATTCAGAGTGAAACGTGGGGGGTGGGGGGGGGGCTTCAACAGCCAAAAATCCATTTCAGCCTCTTCTCTGCAGTCTTTTACAGCTGGCTGCATGATTCCACACGAAAGTTTATTCCCTTCTCATACGATCACCTGAAAATCACACTCGATACCACACCTGACTGATCCTTCTGCATTCAGGTAGCCATGGACAGCAAGCCTGGCACGTGATATCACTTAAAAGCCTCATCAGGGTATGTTCATTCCATCTCCACCTCCTTCTGGATATTTTTTGGGGCAATAGGTTCTCGGCTAGCTTGCTGTCGGATTTCCTTTGTTGCTTATGCTTTCCGACTCGCCATCTGATCTCCGGTAGGAAGCGTAGGCAACTGTTGATAAACATCTAAGGCAGGCTGTCGGTGATACTTTTAATGGCTCGGGCGACGAGTTTCTGAACTATGGGAAAGCGCTGGTTTACTTCACATTGGTGCTGAAAACCCGAATCTTCTTCATTATTCTGAGTGCAGTAGATTCCCCCCACAAGTAGATTGCTGATATTGTTAGTCAGCGGATAGATAACTGTACACAAAACGATTAAGATCCTAATAACGGTTCTTATCTATCTTTTGGCCAATCAGTACTCAACCTATGTTACGTTACTTTAGTGTATACGTAACCTACTTGTTTACATGCATGCATGCATATATACATGACCATTTTGCATGAAACTAATGGCTCAATTCCTTATGGCGTTATACGCAGCATAGTGAATCATTTTACTTCATTTCCAGATTGAATTTTCTAAACCGTCTGAATAATTGTGATGATCAAATATTCCCAGTGGTGGCATCAAATATGACAAATTAAAAAAAAATAAAATCCACTGGTTATCAGATTTTAAATCTTTGGTTCAACGGTTAAAAAGTTCGCCTCATTAATATGGATATTCTGGGTACAATCCTCCGTGGAGTCGCAAAGAGGGTCGGAACATCCAGCCAGCTCTTCTCAGTTTTCAGTAGTTCTCTAACTGATGCCTCTTTGACATCCTGGAAACACAGACAGCCAGTTTACCCAGGTTCTAAGTCTTTCTGCAGTAAATGTATTATCAGTATGAAGCCCATTTTAAACTCACATTCTACACTATGGACCAGGATTGTTACTTACTTCATAGATGAAATTACGAAGTATGTAATTTATAATAGATTCAACTTGATATTATGGTCATTCGAATGACAGGCAAATCAATGCATATAATTACCAAAATAACTTCACATAATAAAACAAAGCCGCTTACCTTTTAACAGATGCAAGCTGTCAACCGTGTATTTTTCTTGTATTACTTATGAATTTACTTAGATTCGCCCTATTAAGTTGATGAAACAGGGACAATAAAAAAACCCGAAATAACTTAGGCTACTTGTGAGTAGTCTAAAAATACCAAGAATTCAGTCAGAAACCTAACTCCTAAACAAATATGCCTTAGAAAATTAAGAGGTACTGAAAACACGCTGAGGACGCAGTCGAGTGATATCAAGCGCCAGGTAGTCGTCACTCAAGTGGAACATGAATAGGAAAAGACAAGTTGAGTATTGGTCAAAGTGTGACACGGAAATGGAAGCTTATGGATAGTCGCGCAGCCAGCTGAAGATGTCTGTAGAAAAGTAGGTGAAATGCAGCCATACTGTTGAAATTCTGTATTCCTCGTCGGGAGCATAAAGGAATAATTACAATGGCGGTCTATCCCACTGAACAGGGTAGAAACTATCCTGAGGAAACGAGGAATTTGTAACTATAATATTAATATTGGCAATAATTTTTATTTTTAATAAATCAAGTACACGGTTTCAGTTGTTACAACAAATATTAAGTTGATTATCGTGGAAGAAAAAAGTGATTTTTCTCATCTCATGAGGTTTTCACAATAAGAACAAAGATTTTTAAAACATAAAGCAAGATGAAACACTGGTAATTCCATATTAGTTTGATTATTAAATGTATCACACAGTGAAACAGTATTGTATACTGGATGACGTTTCGAACACAATTTATTGTTCACAATCATATCAATTTTAAAAAAAAAAATTGATATGATTATGAACAATAAATTGTGTTCGAAACGTCATCCAGTATACAATACTGTTTCACTGTGTGATACATTTAATAATCAAACTAATATGGAATTACTTAATACCACAGTGCCCAAGTTTTACACATATATTAACATGAAACACTGGTGTTGCATACAGACAAATTGCAGCTTTGCAAAAAGGTGGTTAACTGATTTTTAAATTTAAAACTGGATTACAGCAAAAAAAATTGTAGAAATAAATCCTTACACAACCAATGTGGAAATCACAACCGTTTTATGCATACATGCATATACAGAAATATTGTATATACATAAATTATATTACTGAAACATGTATATAAGTAGTTCATATTATAAAGGGAAAGTTTCATAGAGTTCATATTATTAATGGAAAAGAAATAAAACCCAAAATCTAACAGAATAATATATTGAATTCATAAATTATCATATAAATCATAGAGAAAAAAGTTAAGCACAATGACGAAGTCAAGCAAATTCACTCAAAAAATGTCCACAACCATTAGAAAATCACAACCTTTAACGGAGTGGGGTTTGGCAGGGATGCTTATTTTTATCCCGTGATTTCACAACCTTTCATTTTAATTCACAACCAGTAATAAGGGGTACCACCAACTGTATCATAAGTATTTTGTTTTTTGACAAAAATATCACGTTGGTGTGGAATAAACTTTTCAATGGTTTGATTATAAAAACAAACAAAAAAAGAAGAAATAAACAAAATTCAAGATGAAAAACGACAAATAATGAGGTGTAACAAACGATCTAATAACGACAAAAAAAGAATATCCTCTTTTAAAATTTTCACAACCACGAAAACTGGAGTTCACAACCGATATATCATGGACTTTGGGAATAGGGAATATAACGCCTTAAAGTAGTAGTAGTATACTTGAGTAAAAAACTGACAAGCCAGATAAAACAAGATAAAGCCTAATGTTTATTTGACGTAAATTACTGCTAGCTTGACTTGTTGTAGACTGATTCTTTTGACTGAAAGGTCTCATAATATTTGGATACAGAGTGCCAACAGTTTCTTGAGAATTTTTCACATTATCCATTCTTTGCTGCCCAGTATGCTGACTAGACCTACATGCAGTATCTGCAAAATGGATATCAAAAACACTTTTATAATAATAATAATCATAATAATAACAAAAATACCAGTTTTATCACTAACCATAGCACAGAATTTTCAGTGCACTTAATTGCAGAAAATTCTTCTTCATGACACGGGATCTTCGACTGAAACAGTAACCGACAGTGTATCATGTAACTCTTTGTTGTTCCACCTCAAGCAATTTCCTATCCTTTACAGCATTTTACTTCAGATTCGTTGAGAAACGCAAGTTATGTTGAAATGTAATAGACAGTACAGACACTTAGAGATAAAAGACACTATTGCAAACTATAAATGAAAAGCAGAACATGGGTAATTCTCGAAACACTTTATGAATTATCGTAATCACAGTACAAGAGGGCCATGAAAGTTCGCATGACAAAAACAATCTGACCGTTATGGATTACCACTGCCACCCTTTTTGAACTAGCGTCTTCTTTTTCCCAGTCTGCGCCACTACAGAAAGCTAAGTCGAAATGTCCACGTGTTCATGCAGTGATCAAAACTTACAACTAGATGAATAAAATTAATTTTTTTTAATTTGGAGAAGAGCTTATGCATCATGTTGCATGGAAATTTAGGCAGTCAAGTGTTATCTGCAGACTTCTGTGAGTACTACTTGACATAGAGTGAACTTAATTAAGTGCAGATATTTTAAAAGTAAGGGGATATTTACAGGTTTAGAACATTTTATGATCGCGAATCTGATAACAGAATAATACTCAAGGCAAGTGACAAACAATCCTTGGTTTAGTCAAACTGTTTATTAATTTATGGGTATATTCTAAATCATTTTTCTTAATTATTACAAATGTATCATCATATTTGAAGACATCAAATTCACAAGAGAAGAAGAATTAGATAACAAAATCCTATTTTTAGATGTCTTAGTCAGGAGAACCAACACAGGAAGTTTAGAAACACAAGTATATAGAAAATCAACGTACACAGATCAAATACTCAACTATACTAGCAACAATCCAATTACTCACAAAAGAAACTGTGTGAAGACATTGTTTAGAAGAGTTCAAACACAACACTGTAGCACTACAGAGTTCAAAAGAATGGAAGAAAAATACTTACAAACGGTCTTCAAGAAGAATCGTTATCCACAGAATTTCATCAAAAACTGTTTAAAGTCGAATCAAACCACCAACAAAGAACCATCACCAAAGACCAAAAAGAAATTCACCCTACCATACATCAGAAATATCTCTGAAATAACGGCTAGAATAATGAAACCGTTTGATATAGATGTAGCACACAAACCAGCCGAATCGCCTAATTCGATCTTATGCAAATCAAAAGATCCGACAGAAAAAAGGGGATAAAATTAACACCATTTACAAAATAAATTGTATGAACTGTAACAAACATTACATCGGCGAAAGTGGGTGTCCCTTTCGAATAAGAATCCAAGAACACAAATCAGCCGTGAAAAGACATGATATAAATTCTTTAGTATCAATGCATACAGACAATTATCGACATCAATTTGATTGGGATAATGTCAAAATCTTAGACAGAGGAAACATCACCGAAAGTGTAGTCAGGAAATTCCTAGATACCTGGTACTCAAACGAAAATGCCATTAATAAACACGTTAATATAGATGAAATATAACAACTAATAAAAAGTAAATCAGCTGATCAGAAAGTTTAAAATCCCAATCAATAGAAAACGGTCAATACATATGTAAAGATGGTTGGTCAGCAGGAGACGCAATTGTATCATCATTCATGGAGATTTTAAATCATTTGAGTTTATGCTAAATAGTGCACTGAAGATGTCGTCCAGAAAGGTGGACGGAGAAAGCTCCGCAACTAAACCAACCAGCTAAGAGAACACTATTAATTGCAAATCATCCACCTGAGTTACAAATCTTTTCTATTATTTCAAAATCCTTGGCGTAGTCAAATTGTTTTCCGTCTAATCTGAGTGAATAGTATACATATAGTCTTCTATTTAACCTTTGCTAAAACGATATAACACTAACTGTCAAAGGTGATTACTAGACAACCTGAAGATATCCACCTTATGAGATAATCCGTTATATAATCAAGTCTCTTAATCAGAAAAAATATAACTTCACTGAGTAGGCACCTAAAAGGCATGGATGTATCAATGACCTTAGAGGCAGTGTTTACGCTAAGAGTTTAATTTGCTTCCCTAACCCAGCCCTCACCACAACCTTTGTTTGACCTACCCCTAACCTGTCTCTAGCTGAGACATACGGCTAATCTTTCCTTAAACTAATTTAAAACAAACCAGTTACCCTGTTATTACTATTATAACACATTATTGAATATCTCTGTTTTATTAACATAGTGTTATTTATCTGATTTCACTGACTTCTTCTACAGTCACTGCTGCTTTTGCACTTATTGGTTCTTTAGTGTTTAACTTTGCCAGAAAGACAATCGTGATAATCTTCAGGTGAGTATTAGTAGGGTCATCTAAGCGAAGACTTAATGCACCGTCTGAATTTGTTGTATTGACTGATAACTAGAAGCTGAAATCAAAACTTAGACGTCAATAGGATTCTGATACACTGATGTCTTAACAGAATGTAAGTAGTTATTTTTGATTTTAGTTTGAAAATAGGTGAGTCGTAAGTTGGTTGTTTCCCAGTCTTTTCATTTAGAAATCAACACAGGCTTTTTAGAACTAAGTACTCCACTTCTCTGACTACGGAAGCTGGTGTCCCTCGTGGTGGGCTGTACTTTCTGCATTTCTTTTTTGCATGACTTGCCGTATTATTTTACAGTCGATTTCATTCGATATGCAGGTGATCTGATAATCTATGTGACAGTTGTTTCTGCACTGAGTTGTTCTGATATAAAATAGTTTCCTATATTAGGTTAAGAAATGCTCTTAAACTGAGCCCCTCTAAATATCAGACTGTTAATTTTAGTTTCAGACATAAGCAACACTTGGGTTAACTGATTCAGCCCTATGATTCTTGCAATATCCACGACACTGTGGTAGAAAATATGTTGAATTTCACCTATCTTGGTATTGCTTTCTTACCCAGTCTCTATTCGTAGTTTCATATCTTGTTGATTTCTAAGGGAATCGTTTGTTTGACCTACTACATAAGGTAGTTGAGACATTCTGACATAACTCAGCCTCTTCTCTTACAGTTAATTTATTCATGCAGTCTACATATTCTTCTTCATTTAATTTTCCTAATTCTTCCCTGAGCTTTTCATGAAACACCATGTCATACCACAGAGAACACTGAAAGCAGTGAGCAGGGTTAGGGGTTCACCTTTGACTCAACTAAATAACATTATCACAGATAGGTATTTTAATTTTTACAAACAACTGGTTGAAGTGATCTTCAAACCACTGTGCGTCGGTGGTACAGTGGTTAGGACTCTCGCCGACCATGCACATGGTCCGAGGTTCGATCCCCGGCCGACGCACTCCTGAACCTCGCTAACCCAGTAATAGAACCGGGAAAGAGGGAAGGTTGGGCATGCGGCTAGCAACCCCATCCTATAAAAGTAAACGCTGCCGCTGAAACTTCAAGCCTCTAGCTTGAAGCCCTATGTTCCACTGGGAACGTGAAGGAATAGAAAAATTAATACAAATATTACTCGACTATTAACTTATGCTTGTGTGGTTATATTTATTTATTTATATTTTAGATTATAAGACCTAGTTGACAGCAGAATCCTCAAGATGGTTAATAAAAAAACTGTATTGATGGTAAAGAGGTAATTGTCTTAAAAATCAATAAAATATTACCATCACTGATAAATATGAAGAACAATCTTCTATCTCAGTAAGTCTTAATATAAACCAGAGAAAATTCAGCAAAATGAAATAAAACTCCACTTATAGTCAACTCACTGTACAAAATTCTTTCTCTCATCACTGGCAACTGTTCACGCCAAAACATGCAATGATGTCTGCGTAGATTTCTACTCATATATGAACGTGGCAATGCAAAAACCATATGTTTACGTGAATCATCGATTCGTGAATTTAACGAAGATGTTTCAGACGAAGATGTTCCCTCTGGTGCTGCTACCGCTGATACTGAATTCGACGTCAGTGATGTCCCAGCGTTAAGAATCGCTACGGATTGTGGTGAGTATGTTTCATATCTATCCCAATAAAGCTCCTTGTTACGTGTATGGAATTCCCCAGGATTTAAATTTGGAGACCTGTATTTTTTAATACAATAAAATAATTATGAAAGATTGTAGCATATTTATTTTGGGCGAGAAACTTTAATAAAATGTGTAAAGCGAGCTTAGAATGCTTCTAATCTAAGCATTACATTTGCATTATATTATCTGCTTCACAATTAAATCAGCCAGCTCAGAGAGCACAACTAATTCAATATCATCCACCTGAGCTATAAATCTCCATTATTTCAAAATCTTACGAGAGTGATACGTTTCCGTCTTGTTGCAAATGCGAAGACTTTGCCGAAAGGCAGGTCTCTAAAGACGAACAACTAATGTTTCTTCATGAATGTTTCCACCAACAGACTCTGTCATGAATTAACTGTCCTCTGGGGTGGAAATCAGCCAGACAACACGGAGAACAAATGGTGAAACTAAAAGAGTTGAAACACACTGTAGCACTCCAGTGTTGAAGAGAATAAAGGAAAAATACCGACTAACCGTCTTCAAAAAGAATGCATATCCATACAATGTCATCGAATAGTGTTTAAACTCGACTGATAACAACAATAACAAGTCAATATCAGTCCCACAAGAAAATTCATCCTACCATATATATAAAACAGCTAGAATATTAAGACCGTTTGAAATAGGTATAGCATACAAGCCAGCACAATCACTTCACATTCGATATTGTGCAAATTAAAAGATCCAACAGAAAAAGAAGATAAAATCAACACCCTCTACAAAATAAACTGTATGAACTGCAACGAACATTACTAATTCAGTAAGCATTATATTCATATACGTGTCATAAAGGAAATGGCTGTGTATTGAGAATTTTAGTGGTGAAAATGGCAGATTTGGTAGCGAGTGATGTAAGTTTTGGACTCTGAATATGGGCAGAGTTTCTATGATACACATATCGTAGTGACAATCGCCAACTAGGTAAATTAGGGTCTCCTATCGACTGATTTTAACATCTTACAAGAAACATTATATTCTCACAGGGTGAGTTCAAGGGAAATAAATCTTCATCACTGTCGCACAACCAATAGTTTAATCACTTCGAATTCCAGCTCATTTAGCTTTGCGTCGTAAATTAAATGATTCCCTGGATGAAACACTTCCCCCGAAACAGGATGGATTTAGGAAAAACAAGTCATACGCAAAGCATTTTACTCCACTGAGCATCTTCATTGAAAAAAAGCATCAACTTCATAAACTTTCTAAAGGTCTTCGGTTGTGTCGACTGGGTAGTAATTTGGCAATAGCTATGATACTACAGAGGTCAGCACTGCAGACATTTATAAACATCATTCAACAGCTATATGAAGGTGCTACATGCCAAATAAATCACATGGAAAAGCTCACAGAAGTATTCGGAATGAAGACTTGATAGGGAAATGGCTGTTTATTATCTCCTGTTATCTTCATGAATGTGGTGGAGTGGTTCAATGCAGCAGATGGTGAGGACTTAGGAAACGGAGCAGAAGGATCTTAGAAGATTTGGATTTTGTTAATTTTATGTGTATGGTGTCACACAAACTCGAAAATTTTCAAGCGAAAACCAATAAGTTGACAAATGAGTCAGAGACAACAGGAAAGCCGGGAGATATGCAGAAGAGTGGTGATGAAGATACACAAAGTCCAACAACGAACACCAACTACCATCAATGGAAGAAATCTAGAAGAAGTCATTTGTTCCACTTATATCGTCATTTTCACTTCAACAACAAGTGGCACCAATGGGGTTGTTAAAGTCAGTCAGAACACAGTGAATCTATCATCCACGTATTCCCACCATAAACTTCTAGCAGGATTAAACGTTCTGACAGCTTCACTGGTCGTTACATTGAATAAATCTAATATGGAATTATAGTCTACACTTCAATTATATCTATAATATTTTCCCTTACCCTGTTGATGCAAAATTTGTCCAAAATCGCATCATTTCTTCACTAAGTCGTTTTTCTTCATTAGTAAAATTGTAAAATTTATCTGTAAATGCTTGATTGAATGGAGCGCCAAATATGTATTCAGCTTCATAGCCTTGCATAACACCAGTCCATTTAGGCCATGTTAAACTTGATGTTCGATGTTCAAATGAATAAAGAAATACCTTAGGAATAAAAAAAGTAAATAAAACAAACAATAAGTCGTCTCATCGACTTGTCATTGCTCCATTCCAAACTGCAGATCAGGTAACCGGAAAGAACAAACAACAAGGAGCTTTGGTGACGAACCAGCCAACAAATATACAGAAGGAAAGGTTACACTGAGGATATATTTAAGTGGAATCACGCTCCACATCCTCTGGTGGAACCAGAATAGGAGAAGACGAGTTGGGCGTGGGTTCGAGGGTGGCACGGGGACAATCGTGTTAGGAGGAAATGAAAGCTTATCGGCAATCATGGATCCAGATAAGGACTACATAGAAGAGGATGAAATTGAAATGTGCTCCTGTTGAAGCGCCATGTTCTCAATGTTAGCCAAGAGAATAATAATGACAAATTAATCATGAAATTGAAATACTTTTCTCCAAAACAGTGAGCTAATCAATTTGCTTTTCATGGTTACACTTATTGTTATTGTAAGTGTTTTTGAGAAGTGACCACTTGAACAAAGCAGGAACAACAAATGTACTAAGATAATGCGAAGTTTGTCCAAGTTTCTTAATAAGAAGGATTGTATGGAGCTTTTAAGGTGACCACTCTTCATTGTCAACGATGTTTTAAGCTTCATGTAATGATCATTTAAATAATTTATCAAACTCCGCTTCAAACAGATGAATTATTTCCATTCAGCTACTATTTGTACACGATAATTCTAGTGATCGTTTTGACGATAAGACTTGTAAGATGTTCAACTGTTAGGCCCATGCATCAAATCATGTAAACAAATACACTAGTGCTTGAATGACTTGAGTTATGGAACCACTGAAAATCAGGGTGTGTAGTTGATAAGGTACCCACCATCTATTTGATTAGTCTGTTAATCAAATAAAAACAAGTCACATGTCACATGATTGGCGTCAACCAATCAGAATCCAACATGCTGTTAGTGACAGGATCATAACATCCTGTATATTTTTGTACTCTTAGTCACTTGTTTTGGAAATACTCGTTTCCAAACTTACTGCGAGGGACTTCTGGTTTTTACTAGTTCGGGTAAGAAGATAATCGTCCAGAAAACTTATTATTAGGGGTTTATTATCGTGAGTTAGCATTTATCCTAACATTCAGAAACATTATAAAAATGGGAAAGTTGGTCAGTTCCTGTTTGGGATGCTTCACAGTACTCGCCTATGATGCGTCTATCAACGACCTAGTACGTAAAAGGGTGAATAAACTTCGTTTTTCCACTCAAAATGCTTTTATGTGACCACGTGTTCATAGCTTCCACCAGGCAAGTCTTATCAACTACCTTCACACTGCTGGGATGTTCCTCACAAAGTGAAAGATTAAATATGAACGTTTGGCTCTTACAACAGGACTGGTGAACATGCACTTCTAACCAGGGGAACTAAAAACGCCAATCCCAAATCCATGATGTCTTTTGGCTGCAGAATTGTGTATGAACCTCTCCTCGTTACTGACAACCATAGAAACGCAGCTCCTGACTCAGCTCTACCGCTTTGTAGATGAGATTTCAAGTCAAAGACTCGTAAAGATGGTCTCTGAAGACAACCACCTTCTTTAGTAGGGGAATCCGGCCAGTATCCCAACCTTTTTACAAACTATGGGATTTGGGTGGTGCCTTTCTTGGTGCTCATGGTGTAGCAAGTTCGTGCCTTAATAATCACTAATTTAACACAGTCATGACACTACTGGGAGTCAAACCCAGAGCTTGTTGACCACCAAACACTGGGACGGAATCAGACGCTAATCCACTCATTCTAACTTCTGACAAAGCAATACTTAAAAACTCTTGATCTTTACGGCGACTGATAGCGAAGATCATCGGCGAATATTTACCCTCACCCCATTGGTCACCACTTACCACTAGAATCTCGGGCAACTTCGCCCTGTAGTCACTGCATTGATTTTCAGGTGTTGGTTTGGAGGAATTTGACTGAACGATGAACTGATTCTGCTTTGACTTCATGAGCCTGACCACTCATGAAAGTTGGTGAAAAGGCTAAACTTCATACACTCGCAAAAAGGATCATAACCAAGGATTTTACCTATATCACCATATGATCCAATAGGCGTAGTTGGTTCAGCTTCTCATGTTTCCGCTGTCTCTGTATCAGCACTTAGACGGAGTTAATGATTCAGTGACCTACTAACTCATTCATCGACTAATCTTAGATACACAGACAGGACTGTATTTCATTTAAAATAAGTTTAAGAAAAGTTTACTTAAGGCTTTTGTTTCCATTTTATTCAATGACATTGAATGCAATACTTAAGCGTAGCAGATGTTGGAGATTAAAACCACAAGTATTCAGACCACAAATTCAGCGGTATCACTAAAAAAAATTTTACGAAACACTGCCAAATCAAACAGCATACTGACTAACCGACCGAGTTTCAACATAGAACTTTACACAGAAATCTGGCAATTCAAGTTGCCACACGCTGTGTCACTCAAATGTAGAGAAAACAGACATCCGAAACACCTATAATGAGTAGAAATTCACTGCAGAAAGAGCAGTAACGTGGAGAAGCATATGAGTTTAATGTATATTGCAGATTACAAAGAATGAATACATTTTCGCCATTGATAACGATTCTGAGCGTTGTCGCCAATGGTCTCCAGCCATTGGTGGCTGTCGTCAGGAAGGAGTGGATACAGCCAAAAAGCAGTGATTCAAAATATACCCGCCTCATCATCTGATTGTGATATTTAGACACCAAAGGCAGTAATTTTTCCAGTGGGTGGTGTTTATAACTTCTGTAATAGGTTAAAACTCAATTATATTTGAGACATTTTGTTTAGTGTGTTTATAAAACTTTAGTATGTTAAGATGATTGAAGGCATTCAGCAGGAAATCCTGGACCTAGGTTTCATGCTTGTTGGTATTCGTCAGCAAGGTGTATCTGCAATCTTGAAGGGACTTATGTCCTCTCTTAGATTCGAGCCTAAGACTCGCAGTGCTGCAATCAGAAACATTATCGCTGCGCTGTTTGAGCTTACGGCTGACCTTCTATAGGACTGTAATGAACGCTTTAAGTGGATACCTAACTTGATTACCACATTGCAAACTGACTGATAAGATTCAGTCCACACGAAGGGAAGGACTTGACGCATGACACTAGTTACCACATACTGTCCAGTCAGACTAGATAACAACCTCTGTTTATTGTTAGATTTGGGAAACAAACCCACTTATTTGACTAAATTTCAGCTTAAGATCATCGATTCTCATGACAGTTGTAAAATTACCGACAATGATATAGGAATTAAATCAGAAATTAAGTATCTTGGACTTATTCTCACTTCTGATCTCTCCTGGACTTCCCATGTCTTAGCGATCTTCAGTAAAATATTCCGCCTGACATTTTACACTAAGAAGTTAAGACACTCGGGTATAACTCAACCCCTCCTCCTACAGTTGATAAACTCTTGCATCCTACCTATTCTTCTTTATTGTTCACCCTTGCTTATTCTTTCCTGGTTTGCTTAAACAGGACTATGTCGCAATTCGTAGAATGCCGAAGACTGTCAGTAGGGTGAGTGGTGTCCCAGTGGACCACATAGTTAACATCGTTGTCGATAGGCACTTGACTTCGTGCAATAAATTTGCCAAAAGGATTTTGTCTGATCTGGAGCATCCATTTTACACTCAGCTTTCACCTTGCATCTCCTCAGGTAGAACAAGGAGTAACTTCAGAAAACTGTATGCCCGCATGTCTAAGTATAAAAATTCTATGATACCATACTCGGCACGTATTTTATGTCATCAAAATAGTGTCAGGCAGCAATTAACTAACCTTCCTCCATCCATCCTTATATACCTTCGAGTTGTACTTTTATTATTTCTATAATATTTATGATCCTGTTGCTTCTTTGTTTTACTCTCATAATTGCAAACACCAACTTATCACCATGACTGCTGTAATCTTTGTTTTTCCCCTCACCATCATCATCATGTAAAGGGAACATTATACTCAATATTTTTAAACATGTTAGGATTCCTATACCACATTGCCAATACTGTATGAAACAAGGCCACAGCAATTTTCACTTGTATTCTTATCATTATTACCCTAGCTGTTATCATTATTATTATTGTTATTTCCATTTTATATGCTGCATGTTTTTGACACTACCTCTATTGTAAATGTGGAAAATTTTCTGTGTGATTAATTTTGTATTTATAATTTGAGGAAAATAGATGCAATATTGTGATTAATGCTGAAAATTCTATTCTGTATCACAAGTACTGTTTTTGGAATAAAGCAAATCATTATTATTATTATTATTAAATACGTTTCAAAATATTATTGCCATTTAGAATACTAATAGGGAACTCCCATGAATTTTCATAATTTTAAACTCTGAATATGATACTGAACTGTACCAACAAGAAAGTGAGTTTATAATCTGTATTTTGTTGTTGGATGTTGGATGATTTAGAATTGAGCATCTGAAACCGGGAGAGACCATAGATATTCTGTTCAGATGTTCAACTTCCACCTACGTGTAATTTCTAAAGCTACCTCAGTACAAAGTTAGTCAATAATAATAGTTTTATTTTGAAAAAGTGTGTTTCTATATAATACAGAATATTCAGCTAGTTCCACTGCAAGGTATTTACCCTGTGTGTAGAATCTTTAAATGATATAATAATGGATAGTACATCATCTTAAACAATACTGTCCCATCCGATTTCTAGAGAAAAGTCATGATCTTTCCCATCCACCGAACTGTTTGTGAGGACAGATACTCATTGGCTGGCGATCATGCTATATATCATGAATTGGTAGAAGTTAGTATTAATGGACCGTTGGACTCCATCGTGGTAGATGAATTGTTAGCCTTGCAACTGAAACGTCTCAAGGTTCAATCCGTGGTGGACCGGGTCACGAGTTTGTACTAATGAAGAGTCCCGGACAAAGGCGAGACAATCACCCATTCCTTCCTGCAGGTCTTCACTGGTCCTCTAACTGAGGTCAATTCGCGATCAGACTTGAAACAGATCACTCTGTGGAATGTCACCCTTTAGGTACACACGAAAGTTTGTATTTTTCATGATAATAGTGATGGTGACAGTAATAAAAAAGATCATGAAAACTGGAACCAGTCGATCAAAGAAAATTTAATACCTGTGCATTTGCTCCACGTGAATAGAAATCAGCGAATTCAACAACTGGACATTTTATATTATAATCCCCTCCAACTTCATTCAACGCCTTGACAACTTCCAATGATGTCCAACTATCAGTTCCTAGGGCCCGGCTAGGAATCTAAATCGAAATAAATTGATAAAAGTATAGAACGGGAGTGAATTTGGGGAATGACTATGCACTGGTGTATTTTGTCGCAAATCAATATCCAAAAGAATGAATACTGAACAAAGAGTACTCTTTTCGATATATTCATCATCAGGCTCTACAGTTATATGTACATTATAGTCAATGAACGCCTGATAGTGATTCCTCGACTGAAAGATGAAGTACCTAGACTAGCTGGCCACTTCAAATTGTATCTAACAATTCAAATGCGCTTGTATTGGAGCGAGTTATATTGGCCGTTGCTCTATGAACTTGATTTTTCGTGCTTGCTCGAGAACATCTCCCAGTATGGCTAAGTAAGAGTGTAGTGAGAACTATTAACAGCTCAATATTGGAACATCTGGTGCAAACCGGTCACAAAGCCAGCGTAGATGAATCCTTCTCTATATTACACCAGGTGCCAAATAAACTGCCAAAAGCATCGAAGCACCGCAGGCTCCAAACAGCAGAGGCTATTGTGATTCACCTCAAACAACCAGCGCTCTGTGTCCAAAAGAAGCAAGTCCAGCCCCTACTATTGCTCTGGCCTTCAGTAGAAACTATAAACTCATGAATTTGTACTATTATCTTTCCTAATTCTTCTGACATTCAGCTTATTTTATGTTGATACTATGGAGCTGTAATCTATCAATATTATTGGTTTGATGTTATTTAAACAACATTAATGTCGTTCATAACACTAATTGATTCATTCACTATAACGTAGGTATAAATGTAGAGCCTGATGATGAAGGGGTTATCGAAAAGAGTACTCTTTGTTCAGTATCCATTCTTTTGAAAATTTTAATGGGCATTTTTAATCAGTTAAAAATCAATATCCTCCAGAGAAGTGTCAGTTAATACTGAAGAACAATGAGTAGGAACTCTTCGTTCTTTCTTTATCTACCACTTCATGAGATGTCAAACATGGCAATTAGTCATCAGTCTGAAACTTAGTGACCCATAGTTTCCGAATTTCACAACCTCATGGTATAGTAAGTGAATGGCAACGTGTTCTCTGTGAGAACTGATGGTTCTCAGTTTAATTCGAACACATGCTATATGTACACACAACCTAGGATAAGACAGTCATCCGGAACTACTTGGTTTGAAATAATCCTCAGTATGGTGGCGATTCGTGACAGAAATTTCGCCTATTTTATTTTGACTTATTATGAGCTTCGATTTGCCCAGACTGCCTCCTGATCGGTCTGATAAACTATATTTGTGATCACCAGCTACATGGTTCTAGTCATAAACTTAAACAATTTGTACTCTTTCTATAAAATTTCTACTAAACTTCTACACTAGTGAGTATTGCTGAAGTCAGCTGGTGGGCTGATTTTCTGAAGTCTACATTAACAAGAATTTGACATATGTTCTCTCACTTGTACATTGTTATTTAATAGATAGAATTATGAACTCGGTTTATTATTTTCATAGTCTTATCAAAGGGTAGCATCTGCAAAACTTCTAGACATTGTCACTGAGAGAATTTTTGTTAAGCCTGGAATTAACCCATCACTTTATATGTTGATCCTGGAAATTTTATGTGGTCATTAACAAAAGACCTAAATCACTATCAACGGGAGGGATTTGAAAGAGGTTACTCCATTCACTTCATTATCTAGGGAGTATTGTCTCAACTACAGGCAGGCGGAACGGACGAGGATGTCAAATCGAGCGAGAATCGGGAAGGCGAGCGAGAAACACATTCATCAACCTGAAACCAATCTAATCTGGAAATCTTCGTCACTCAGTATCAACAACAAAATTCAGTCGGATTTTCAATACAAACGTCAAGTCAGTCAGTTCTTCTATACGGACCAGAAACTTGGCGGGCGGGTCACAAAGAATATTTCCAATAGCCTGTTGCAGACCTTTATCAACAACTGTCAACTATCGCTCTATACTGAAGATCAGATGGCCGGATCGGAAAGAATCACCAACAAGGAACTATGGGAACAAACAAAATAAGAATCAGTCGCCCAACATATATGCAGGAGGAAGTGGAGATGGATTGGACACTCGCTGAGGAGGCCGCCGCTGGGTGACATCGCGCGCGCGTCAGGCCATTGCTCGAGTGGAACCCGAAAGGGAAGCGGCGTGTGGGACGTCAGTGCAAGGGTCACATGGAGGAGATCGTGTGAAGAGGAGTTGAAAGAGTATGGATTAACATGGATGCAGGTGAAAAGTACAGCAGAAGACAGAAGTGGCAAGTGGAGACGTGCAGTTGAAGCCCTATGTTCCACTAAGAACCCAAGGGAGCAATAATAATAAATAATAAAATGTGTGGCTCACTGGTATAATACTTGCCAACTACTCTCCTAGTCAGAGATTCTATTCTTAACTGACACATTTTTATGCCTCCCCTAGTTTACTAAATGACAGTAAGCCAGGAAAAGAGGAAAGAATGCGTACAACAACGCTAGTAAAGGCATCCTGTAAACGAAAACAACACCACTGCCAGTGAAACTTTAAAGCATACAGCCTGATGATCTATGTTCCACTCAGAAAGCAAAAAGAGCACACAAAAACCAAAATACGAAATTATAAATCAATTTTTTCACTAACTTACCTGGTATTCAAATACAGTAGCCTGTAGTAAAATTGACTGGAGAAAATTTTCATCCATAATATAAAATGCTAATAAATCCAACGGATCCATTATTGCTGTATCATGACGAAATTCACTTGGCATCTGTGGCCATAATCCAGGTGACATAAAATACATACGTAGGCCATGGACAAGATGATAAATACCTGTACAGAAAAATCAATCAACAGGAGGTTAGAAAATGATACAAAAAAAGTAAATATATCATGTTTCTTATGATCAATTAATTGTAAGATAATGGTGCACATGCTACGCATTTTTGAGAATTCCTTTCATTATAATTCTGAACATGAATGAACTCAAGTCACTTAGAAGTAGCCCAATACCTAGGTGATAATAGTTTGATGTCTGAAAGCATGGGTAATGTGTTCGAGTATCAGGGGGAACGCCATCACTCATTGCGGTACAAGTATATCCAACTGGTGAGTGCTGAACAAGACAAAATGGGCATTCTCGATTCGACTGATAGACAGGTCATTCCGTTTTCAGATGTCAGTGTTTCAGTGATAGAATGCCCACTAACCATGGTTTGATTCACGAATGGCAAACACCGTTTTACTTCGCTTAACTGAGTGTAAGCCCAGTAAAAATAGGGAAGCTTGGTAACCATACTCCTTGAAAATACTTTTGCTTCTAAGACTTCATAGCTCACGCCTGAAGTCCTGTGTTCCATTTGGAACCCAAAGGAATAAAAAGAAAAGAGAAAGAAAATGAAGTTATTGAGATGGAATAAGAAAAGGGTTCCCTGAATTTCAGGACAATGACTAACTTGAACAGACAATAGACTTTTCTAAAACTCTTAGCACATTGAAATAATGGAGAAGATTTATAGCTCAGGTGGATGATATTGAATTAGTTGTGTTCTCTGAAATGGTTGATTTTATTTCGGAACCAGGGAGTTCCCAGAAGCTTGGTGCTCAAGGGGATTATCAGTTGACCAACACATTGTTAAAGACCAAATTTACCAGCTAATCAAAAGCAAATCACATGACAACAAAATTCCAATTGCATGTCAATAAAATTGATCAATAGAGACGTAAATTAACAACCAGTCACGATAGTATTTGCCAGGGGATACAATTACGCCATTCATGAAGAATTTAAATGACTTCGTCTAATACTGAAACGTGTGCTGAAGATGTTGTGTAGAAGGACGACGAAAGCTTCGCAGTTAAATCATTCAGCTCACATAACAACAAAATTAATTCAGTACTCTTAGCATATCTTTTTCCCCTAATATACCTCAGCCTTTTAGGTTAATTTTTCATTTCTCACAGATTGATTAAGTTGGATCGAAATGATTGGTCTTTGTTGACAAGTCAAGTCTCAATGGAAACATCATTATTCGGAATGCAGGTATACACAACTGACGAATCATCACTAGGATGAAACTCACATCCTAGATTCCACTATTAGTTGCTAACATTCAAAATACTTCAACCTTATCTACTGCTTACAGTATAAACTTGACATGTGAGTTGCATCAAGGAGTCACTTCACTATTACTACCAATACTGTGGTGGTGTGATACAGACAATATGTTCCAACGAAATATGATTCTCACATTTTCTCACAATTCAATACGGCGTAGCATCAGAATACTATCTGTGTTTGAACATTCTATTTCATGTCGTTTAATGTAAGCCAAAATCATACGCTCAGTGATTGGTTAAATAATAGCGGTTCGATCAGTTTAAAATATACCTTGGCTTCTGTTGTTACAATACTTTTACTACAAATTCTGTCCTATCAGTGATAACAGTGGAAATTGCTGTGTTCGCGGATCTTAAATTCTACACTGCACTTGAGATGAAAGACTGTGGACAATATATAAAGGGGACCACAGAAAACAGGACCAAACGGAGATGTGCTGCTGAAGCCCAAAGTCCCACTAGGAACCCAAGGGAAATATAATAATAATAATAATCTAAAAACAATTCCATGTAGACATTGGTAAATACAGTAGAGGGGATTGTCGTATCTTACAAATTTTGATTAAAAATGTGAATGCGACCTAAGTAAGTGAGGCTGAAACTTTGATTGTGTCTAAATAATGTATATTGGCCTATTCTACTATTTTTCACGTCCTCGTAACAATGATTTTAAGAGCACGGAAATGCCAACAACATTTATGAACCGAATAAATTTGTTATTCATTAATTAATTCATGAATTCCACACCAAACCCTTTTAGTTGTTTCAATTTAGGTTAATCAGGAACGCAGTTGGATGAACTCTCAAAAGAAATTATAATCTAAGGCAATCAAGTCTGGCTTTGAACTTTGATATTATTTCAGTTCCAGTAAAGATGATTTTCATCGATCGGTTTAGAAATAGTCAAAATCTTAAAGGAAGCTGTCTGCGTAGTTGTCCATCTCCGCACTATACTCCACTTGTTCTGACTGATAAAACTTAAACTTCAACACTGAATTCTGTGTCAATGAAACGAGTTACGAGTTTAAAAAGTGTTCCACCTACTAAGCTAGCAATCAGTAGCAGAATTGCATTGTTGACTTCATTGAAGAACGCTGTTCAGTATCTAGTAGAACATTCATATACTGAGTTACATTATTCCTTAAATGGCAAAAGGTGCTCAGTTCCTCTGTTTTACCCACTGTTGATTTAAAGTAGTAAAATGGTCAGCTATTATCAGCACTTACTAATGTACGAACATCAGTCCTAAATTCTTTTGCAAATCGTAGAATCTACTCAGACACCTTTGTGTAAGCTTTGAAATAATCCAGATCCTGAAAAACTGAGCATCGAAACATTAATCAGTAGCTGATCAGTAATGACTAGCTTCAAAGTGAATTTACTACAGTTCTGTTGAGATGCTGTAAAAATGTTTATATCAGCTGTGAGGAGAATTACTTACCAATGTCACGAGGATGACAGCAATGTTATATCTATCTGTCTGGATTCAACATAGAACTTGGAACCAAAGTGCAGGAGTTCGAGTTGCCACCTTCCAAATACCACACAAAGGTAGACAAGAAGATGAGTGAAGAGAATCAATACAGTTTGACAACTATAAGAGCCAAACAGAATGGGTAATGGTAGAAAGGAATATGAAAGATTCCAGAGACTGAATACATCTGCGCTGGCCATTGACAACGATTTTGAGCCATGTCACCTATTGTCTCCAGCCATTGTTTCCTAGAGTCCCGAGGACCCCAACCCGGAAGTCTGCATCTTCCTCCCTACCTGACTCAGTTTAACTGTCAAGGATTTCATGGATTGATGAGGCCATGTTTTTGTTTGGCCACCACTTACCCTTTTCCAACCTGCACCTATATCAGCTAGTTAGTAATGCCCGTCGGGGGAGGCGATGGTTAGGCATGCGCACCACGTCACCTAGCCATCTCAATCTATGTAAATTTATAGCCTCGTCGATTGATTTCCCCCCACCCTGTTTGCCCAACACTCTACGCCTAACGTCAACATTACTTACACCTTATTATACCACCTAACGTGAGAAAGAGATCTCAGACATCTATGATCGAAAGCAGTCAACCTTTTCATTTCTTCAACTCATATTGGCCATGTTTCAGAGCCATAGAGAAGGACGGAGCGAACTGGTGAGCAGTACAGACGTCCCTTGGTTGATAACCGGATGTCACGCCTACGCCAGAGATGGTGTAAGTCAGCGAAAGCAGCTCGAGCTTTTTGGATCCATGCTAAGATTTCGTCGCCAATCAGTCCGTTGGTGCTGATACAACGTACCAAATAGGCAAAGTGGTAAACATGTTCTATCACTTCACTCCCTATCACTAAGCTAGGAGTTGACGTAGTCCAGTCCTGTAGCAGCAACTTACATTTTGTAGGGGCGTTATATATATATATATATATATATATATATATATATATATATATATATATATATATTGGGAACTGATTAGAAAAAAGCTAGAATTCATGGACTAGTGTATTCTAACTCTGTCACTGAATGGCAATATTACTGTCTTGCAGATTTTAAGGTCCTTGCATAGGAGTAATACTGAATGCCTCTGAATTAATACCTAACATCTATGCAGCACTGCATAGTTTTTAAAGGGGTTTTGTATCTATTTTCAGTTTGCGAAAAAGTCTACCTTGAATTCACTAGGATTCCTGAAAACCAAACAGCTAATATTATTATTTGTTGGTGAGACTTTTTGAGACAAACAAATGGCTAGCAGACTAAAAATGACGTATAAGGTGTTGATTAAGACCGGAATAAAATTTTCTGTTCCGGAAGGATTTGAATCAGACACCATATATATATATATATATATATATATATATATTAATTATGCCTCGGTTTTTGAGGGGTAGATTTCTCGCCAACCACTCACATGGTACGTGGTTCGATTCCCAACCAACTCAGGCCTAAACCTCCATTATTCTGCTAGCTGTTAGTAAGCCAGGAAAAGACAGAAAGTCTGGTGTGAGGCTAGCAACTCATGCTACTGCAACTTCAAAGCTAAAGCTTTAAGCCATGTGTTCCATTGAGAATGGATGGAAAGAAGACATATATATTCGAGATTCGTTGGAGGATTCCATCATGAGCTGACATCAATTAAAGAACCATTGGAAAACTTAGGAGTACAGGTACAGCTTTCCAGTCCTCCCTGCAGGTTCTCCAGTTGTTCTCTAACTAATGTCAGCTCCAACCAATCAAACAAAATCCCTAAAAACCCAATACTTGAAAACATATTTAAGAGTTAATTAAACATCAGGCTGTTTTAGGTAGCTCTGAATAAACAAATCAATAAATAAATTTTTGTAATCAGAGGAAACAGTATTGTTCACAGTAAAATCAGAAGGCAAACAATAGAACCGAATGCTTACCTTCATCTTTATTCACTCCCAACATGATACGATGTCGAATATTCAATTTACCCGAACCTAATACTTCATATGGCCATTCAGGTAGAAATGGTGCTGTGATGACAGGTTTAAATGGAACATCGAAATAATAACCAGCAGTACTTAATAGCTATTTAAAAGAAAAAATAGTTTTAATAAGATAAGATTTAATACACAAAAGACACTTGATAGATAAATACATTAATAGAAAATTAAGAAATCACTGTTTCAACTCATCGCTTATGACCAGCTGATTTTCAGCATTCACTCTAGCAGAATTTGATTTGATACAATCTATGCATTTATAAATTCTCACAGGCGATACCGGCCATGCATAATCCATGTGGTGCAGGTAGCTAGACTAAGCCACGGTTAGAAACACGGTTAGAAACTGGCTTTAAAACAAGCGATTTAAACTGTATAATGATTATTTAACAGGCATTTTAAAACGTTAACAACATAGACCGAAAGTTATAATGTGAACCGTGTGTACCAAGTATAACAAATGACACGATGGGCAAACCAGCCGTCAGTAGCAGGTGACTGTATTATATGAAATTCAATTGGTCGATTGTTGGTCTAGTTGTTAATCATAATTTATATATACCCAATAAACGGCTGGTCGTGTTAAGTATCATCAGTAGACGATTGTTCAAATGTTTTTTCTGTTTTAGACAATCATATTTTTTTAAAATACATTGTTTGAATATCTTTCACTGGATTCTTAACTGAACAGAGAGCAAAAGTAGGTTAATTTAGGCGATTGTGAATATGTAAGGTTATTGGAGTAACTGGCTTTAGGTGTCAGTGGCATAGCGGTTAAGACGCTCGCCGACCATGCACATGGTGCGGGGTTCGATTCCCGGCCGACGAACTCCTTTACCTCGCTGAGTCAGAAATAATGCTGGTAAAGAGGAAAGGTTGGACATGACGCTGGCTAGCAACCCCATCCTGTAAAACAAACACAACTACAGAATCTTCAGGCCATTAGCTTGAAGCCCTATGTTCCACTGGGGAACGTGAAGGAATAAAAACAAATTGGAGCAACTGATCTGAAAATCCTTCCTGGACAATGTGTTTGTAGTACTGATTATTTATTTGAGTGTTTCAACTAATTTTATAACTTTCAAGTAGTGGTTTTCTAGGGATTTAGTTTGACTGAATAGGGGATTTCATCATAAGCTGACATCATTTAGAGAACCCCTGGAAAACCTGGGAGTAGTAGATAGCTGTTTCGTCCTAGTTTGGGACTCTTCATCATTACGCTGAAGAATCCCCGGCTTATCCCCCACTTATATATATATATATATATGAGCAATCTAGCCCTTTTTAAATCCCCTTTTGAGTTGATCTTTATTACGTGTCTTTGTTTTGTGAGTGGATCTTGTTCTCAGTGTTTCAATTTATTACCACATAAGCCAGGAGTGCTAACAATATTGCGTTGTTGAATTACTGCGATTTCGTTTGAGTGAACTAAGTCTTACATCACAAAGGGGCTAATTGCTCTTCGACTTTCTGTGAGACATACTGTTTTTTTTCTGTTCGGTTCCTGAGAGCTGAGAAATTCTGACCTCATTTTGTTGAGAATATTATTGTTAATTCTCACGTATTTGATTCTCGTGTTGTCTGATAAAGATTTTATAATCCTGGCATCTATTCTAGACTGGTTCTCTGAAACTCTTCAATCATGATTTTAAAACTATTAAAAGAATGTTCATCATTTTCCAATCTGAACGATTCTTGTACTTCAGTAAAGCTCCAAAATTAATTTACTGAAATGTATTTTTAGTACCTCTGAGAACAGAATACTAATCTTCATTTGATTACTCCACTGATAACAGTCTAACAACCATATTTCCCTTCAGGAAGAAGGAGATTACTTCTTATCTCTGTAACTTACATTTTAACCCGCCAGTATTCAGGAGTTATCCACCTAATTTGCAGTGTCACCACCAAGTTAGGCGACATAACACTGCAACAGACTTTTTACCTAAAGCTGATAAGAACTACCAATGGAAGGCTGCATTTAATTTCACTCTCATGCCTAATTGAATTCATCATCATCACAATGTGTAGATAACATAGGCAGATGTTTTTAAATGTCAATGCAGTCAGAGAATCTATAGTTACCTTGTAACTTACATGTTTATTTTTAACTTCTTTCGATAATCTTAAAGGCACATCTTCAAACTTAACAATATTATCAGTAAGTAGATGACAGATTTCACAGGAATGAAACTGTTACGCAAATTTAAGATAGTTGAACAAAACATTATTATTTGGTGGATGACAACTGGTGGTGAAATCCGTGATGAGCATTTCCTCCTTTTCAGGACTAATCCACACGATGTATCTGCATTCTCAGTGAGTCAGCTATGAGATGGTGTCTTCATTGAGACTCAAACCCAGAACACATCGTAGATAACGCTTTGGCGTTTGATATGATTGGTGCTGAGTTCGAATTTCAGCAGGGACACCATCACTCACTAAGAATGCACGTACATCCAGCTGATGAAATCTTACTGAGACCAAGTTAGCATCCTGGACTCCACTGCCGGTCAACATCCACCAAACTGCTGCAAACTGATCCTCAGACATTATCGAAGCATCCAACTACTCATAAAAGAAACTGTGTGCAGACATTGTTTAGAAGAGTTCAAACACAACACTGTAGCACTCCAGAGTTCAAAAGAATGGAAGAAAAATACTTACAAACGGTCTTCAAGAAGAATCGTTATCCAAAAAATTTCATCAAAAACTGTTTAAAGTCGAATCAAAGCACCAACAAAGAACCATCACCAAAGACCAAAACGAAATTCACCCTACCATACATCAGAAATATCTCTGAAATAACGGCTAGAATAATGAAACCGTCTGATATAGATGCAGCACACAAACCAGTCAAATCGCTTAATTCGATCTTATGCAAATCAAAAGATCCGACAGAAAAAGGAGATAAATTAACACCATTTACAAAATAAATTGTATGAACTGTAACAAGCATTACATCGGCGAAAGTGGGCGTCCCCTTCGAATAAGAATCCAAGAACACAAATCAGCCGTGAAAAGACATGATATAAATTCTTTAGTATCAATGCATACAGAAAATTATGGACATCAATTTGATTGGGATAATGTCAGAATCTTAGACAGAGGAAACATCACCGAAAGTGTAGTCAGGAAATTCCTAGATACCTGGTACTCAAACGAAAATGCCATTAATAAACACGTTAATATAGATGAAATATATCAACTAATAAAGAGCAAATCAGGTGACCAGAAAGTTTAAAATCCCAATGAATGGAAAACGGTCAATACATATGTAAAGATGGTTGGTCACCAGGAGACGCAATTGTATCATCATTCATGGAGATTTTAAATCATTTGACTTTATGCTAAATAGTGCACTGAAGATGTCGTCCAGAAAGATGGACGACGAAAGCTCCGCGACTAAACCAACCAGCTCAGAGAACACTATTAATTGCATCCGTACTAGTAGCTGACATGTTGACAAAGACTAAACATTTCGGTGCAGTATTATCAATCAACAGGAAATGCTAAATTAAATTAAACAAAGGAAACACTTACATGATGACTTGCTCTATTTTGATACAATCTTCTCAACTGAATAGTTCGTGAGGAATTCTCTCCATTACGTAACAAATGCATATGCCATTGATTGACAACCAATGTTTCTGAATCTACACTTCTTAAACAATCCACTAAATCTCTTGAGTTTCCACCATTTGCACCAGAGGCAACTTTACATCCACTTAAGTGTGCTAGTAAACGTGTCTTTTAAAAGAAACAAATAAAAGAACACACGAAAGAAACATTACAAACTGTAAAAAAGCATGTGTAATGACTATTATTATTGTTTTTTTCATTTGCATTTTGAGTGTATCAAAGGTCTTCATTCTAGACCTTGACGTTTCAGCAGTATTCGTGTTATTCTTTTCTAAAGGTTGTGGTTGCTAGCCTCACTCCCAAACTCCCGTCTTTACCGGGCTTACTATCGTCCAAGTAAAGTTTTAAGAGTGATCTGGCTAGGCATTGAAACCCGGACAGCTTGGATGTTTTGAAAAATATTATACCAACGAATCACTGGAACATGGAAAACTATGTAAACTATAAATCTCACCAGACGCCCAATATTTCCAGAATCACTACGTTAAATCCTGATCGGATTTCAAATAAATGTAATGGAAGATATTTAGAGTCAATCCTGGGTGCAAATTTTCAGTTAATTGATATAAATATATGAATGAAAAAAAATATTACAAATCTGACCGTTTTTGATTACTCCCCTAGTCAAAACATTGTGTCCCAGATTAAAGGGATCTAATGTTTGTTCAGGCAAAATATGGTTAATCAAATTCGTAATTTAAAATTTACACAGTTCCAGGTGAATTTAATTCATGGAATAACCGGTTCACCCAAGTAGCTAGCCGGAATTCGAGTGGCATGAATTGATTTGTCTCTTAGAGCTGAGTCATACTGGGCATAGCACTAATGAGCTCACTCTAAAACGAATAAGAGACGGCCGTCTGGTGTTTAGATCACTTCGATCTGGTTGACTAACAAGCACTCCTGGTTACTGTGGATGTTACCTAATTACTTATGTTTGTATTTCAGTAGTATATAAAATAAAACGAACATTCACAAATTTATTCGTCAGAATTACTGCATTATTTAGTTAATTACACGACTTACTTTCTCCAAAGCTGTATGTGAACTTTCGACTGCCCACCAAGCTAATGGTGAACCACTTTGTAATATTGCCTGTTGAAACAAATTGTTAGACATTGGTGAGATTAAGTGTAGTGCAACACAGATCACACCACCAGAATGACCGAAAATTGTTACTCTAAAGTGTGTTTTTAAAAAATAAAAAAAATAAAAGAGACAAATGAAGCATGATGGAAAAGAATAGAATTAAGGGAAACTTCACATAAAGGTGATCGCCAGGTGCTGAGTTTGCGCAGATCTAACTAATCTTATGTAACTCCAGGAGACAAGATTATATTAAATTATTAGTAGTAGTAATATACTGCCGTGGGCTTCAAGTAGAACCTGGAGCTTCAATACCACATATCCATTTAGTCCTTTTTTCTGCAGTCCTTTTATCTGGATCCAAGATTGCCTATCATCCTTCGCCTCCTCCTTACACAATCTCCTCCATGTTATCCTCCGATCCACACCCAGCTCATCATTTCCCAATGGCCTGGCATATGACGTCATTCTGCGGTCCCTTCAACATGTCTAATCTATCACCATTTCCTTCTGTATGTGTTTTGGGTGTTAAGTTATTGGTTGGTTTGCTTTCCGGCAAAGTTTATTTTTGCTTATCCTTTGTTTCCGGACTTCTAATCAACCGTATGAAGAAAAGCGGCATTACATTACAACATTTATTGAAGGCTGTCTAGCTAACATTGGTTTGTGACCTAAGCTTCAAAAAATATTTATTCCTTTTACGTTTTGAAGAGGGAAATAGTGCTTCAATCTTCCTCGGCAGTCGTGGTGTTCTTATACTGAGGGGAGAGGGCGAACTGTTAGCCTCACATTAACTCCATCGAAACCTTCCATCTTTACTGGGCTGAAGATAAACTAGGCAACGTTTAGGACTGCGTCGATGGGGCATCAAATTTCGACCACGTGAGGCGTGGATAGCTATTATTCTACCACTAAATCACCAACGTATAAAGCTAGGGAGTACCGGACATCTTTTTCAGCCTACGTGGAACTCTGTGGAAGTACACACCTATAACCCAACAAGGGATCGAGTGTAGGACCTACAGGTTACGAGAAGGCTCGCAGATCGTTTTTAATCACTGTGATGGCCACTTCAAAATATTCATCAAAGACACGTTGCGCATTAATTAAAAACTTGACTCAAAGTGTTTTCAAGTACAAAACAAAAAAAAAGCAGAGTAGCAGCTTACTGTTGTGGATTTCCACCGAAATAGGCAATATTTTCACGGATCCATTGAAAAGCTGCGACTTGATCCATTAATCCTTGATTTCCAGGCACTTCATTATCACCCAAATATAAAAAGCCAAGTGGACCTAATCGATATTGTATGCTAACAACTACAACGTTCATCTGTAATAGAAAGGTAAGACATTAAAAATAGAAAATAAAAAGACTTAAAATAACAAGGCATTACTTTTGAAAAAATCGTTATATTATCTACTACTACTTAACAGGTTCACTGTAATGCTCTATGCTCCTACGCCTATTCAAACTCCGTGAAGCACTAAACAAGCTGATGACAACACCGATATAACTAGTTTTAAGGTAGGCATGATTTTGCGCATTGGTGGTTTAAGAGTAAAATGTGTGCCAAATACACTTGTCATCCGGGATTCCATTCCCGACTGACATACTCCTAAACCTATCTTAATTTACTAACTGACAGTAATTCAGGAAAAGAGGGTGGACTGGATGTCAGCCTAGTAACCCCACCCTGTAGTAAACAACATTATCCATGGTGGAATTTCAAAGCTGACGCTTGAAGCCGTATGCCTGACTCGGAACACAAAAAACAAATGGATGAATGAACATGTTCGATAATATGTTCTGTACTTTGTTGCATCATACTTAACACCTAAAAGTGAATGGTTAAAAGGGTGGCTATATCATCATTTCAAGAAAATATTAGTTTCTTTGTTATGAAATTCGGTAAGCACCCTCAGCTACAGGGTCAGAGCTATTTGTCTCAAAGATCTAAGTTAAAACATACACGAGAACACTTACTAGTATAGCTAAATAAAGGTGTAGTTAAAACCACTAATAGTTCGACATAAAACCACCTGGTCCAAAGATACTGCAAGGCTAGTGATGAAGAATCTTTTTCTATCATCTATCGGGTATCAAGCAAACTGCTAATTAAAAAACATCAAAGTTGTTAATAACAATTAATAAGGATGCATGAAACTGTAGAATGTGATAGAGACGAAGTTATCGAAAGGAATATTCTTTCTCCCATAATCAATCCCTTAAATATCATAATGGAGGAGATTTACCACTCGTATTGAAGGATATTTCGATACAGTAGTGTTTTTTGAGCCCAAGGTGGTTCAACTGGGTAGCTTTCACTATCTTTCTAGACAGCATGTTCACTGCTTACATTAATGTGAAATGTAGTGATAAATTTAACGTAATTAAAGTGACTAACCAAGAAAATGATTTCAGTGTGATATTAATCATAAATTAAGTATTCGAACTGAAAATCTTTTAAAGAAAACTGGGCAACTTTAAATATTTATTTTGTTTTGACTTTTGGTTTGTCTGCAGTATATCCCTTCGACATTATATCAGATTTGATTTAGGCCTCTAAAGTCTCCAGCAAATGACAAAATCAGGTTGAAAGGAGCTACTTACTCTGACATCATTAGGAATGACATGTGAATACTTATCAAGGCGATATTTCGCTTTTATTTCGAGAAACTAGCTGATTCCGGTGACTGGGATAAGTTGGCAGTAAGACTGACAGAATTTCTGACCATTCATTGACAGATACAAAAAATTTCATGATAATAAATATCACTACCGACCAATGACTCCCAAAATGGGATGAAAAAGCTGACCCGGTTTTCAATGGTTCTCTAACTGATAACAATCCGTGGTCAAACTCGTAGAAACAGATCTAATCTTTACAAACCATCTCTTAAGAATATCGCATACCTAATTCCCAAATTATTTTTCAAACTATTAAAAGTGAACGTGGTTTGGATATATATAACTCTACTTTTAATTAAAGGTACACGTTGATCAGAAACCAGTTAAACATTCGCTTGCTCATATAATTTCCCTCTGACTAAAGGTGGCACGAATGACGACATTTTTATTTTTTATTTTGATTACAGCTTGATTCCACACTGTATTTTTGGTAAAAGTATGAAATTTTCAGCATGGAAATCGGTAGCCCAAATTTTGCAGGCCGACCATAGATATCAGGTGTGCGTCGGCAGAGGATCTAACCTCGGACCATGTGCATGGTCGGCGAGAGTCCTAACCGCAGTGCCACCGACGCACATCAAAACCAGCCGGGATCTGAGAAACTAGGCAAACATTCATTACTACGAAATTAGTGTAGAAATCTTCTGTAATCAGAATAAGATTCGAAACTTCAAAACTAATGTCAATTTGGCGATTGTTTCTATATGGTCCAGAGACTTGGTGCATCACCAAAAGCATTCTCGACAGCCTGTTATAGACATTCCATCAACAGCTACACGTTTCGCTTTGTACTGAAAATCAGGTGGCAGGCAATGGATCAACAAGCAACCTGTTACTCAAAACATATGCGAAAGGAAATGGAAGGGAATTGGACACACGTTGAGGAAACCATTGAGTAACATCACACATCAGCCGAGTCCTCAAGTGGAACACCAAAGGATAAATAACGAGTTGAGCGTGGATCCGAGGGTGATATGGGGAAGCAATCGTGGAGACAGCCAGAAAGGATTTCAGAGGAGAGAATGAAATGCAAATGTTCTGCTAAAGCCCAATATTCGTCCCACTAGGAATCCATTGAAATAATAATAATAAAATATAAGTATACCTTGATAGTGATATTGTTGTTATACTCAAGCCGTTTTGAAAGATAAGAGTTTAATTTTATCGAGTAGCTTGAAAATCCCCATATAGTCATAAGAAAAAGAGAAGACGTTCAGCGAAGAAACTCTTTTCGCCGGCGAATTCATTCACATAGCTGTACAATCGCATTTATATATAATTATTTGTGTGTGTGTGTGTGTACATGAGGTTTGTCAACTTTAGATAATTGATCAGGTAATACAAGAATGATCTAATATAGAAATAAGGTTAATTGGACAGCAACTAAAGTAAGATTGAGTTAGAAGGTTAGATGACGTAATATAATTGACTAAAATGTTTCAACTTAGGTCAGGGTAGCAACAGAGGTAAATACAGGTAGAGACTAAATAGAAGTGTGGTAGATAATAGTGCCATTTAGATTAGAACTGAAATTGAGCAATTAAGTTGGATGACGTAACATAAATGACTAGAAAGTGAGCGTTGGACAGGTGAATAACGGTGGTAGTGAGGTGTAGAAATTAAATCGGGTGGGGGTAGAGAACAAGAGTTGAAAAAAGAGAGCTGCACCCTACTGTAGGTGCAGCAGGTCAGGTGTGAGGACAAATACTCACCGAAGATATTGGCTAGGGGTCGCGATATGTCGTGAATTGGCAGAAGTTAGAATTCAAGGACCATTGGAACGGGTCCCAGTGGCTTAATGGTATACGAGCTCGCCTTATAAACGGAAGGTCCTGGGTTCGAATCCTGGTGGTGGGTGCGTAGTGCTAAAGAGTCCCAAACTAGAACGAAACAGCTGTCCAGTACTCCCAGGTTTTTCAATGTTTCTCTAACTAATGTCAGCTGATGATGAAATCCTGAAACCAATCAAATCCTTACAAACCAACACTTGAATAAATGCGATTGTACAGCTATGCAAATGAATTAGCCCGAAAAGAGTCTCTTCGTTGAACGTCTTCTCTTTTTCATAATTTTATCGATAATAAAATGAAGTGTATACTTTCCTTTATTTCTTTCTAATAAATGAAAGGGTTTACTCAACCTCTCAGTTTAACGTACATACATACAATAAGACATGCATTCACGCATATCTACACACATACACACACACACAAATACTGACTTATTTTCCCTTTCACAATCATCATCGTTTCTGTTTACTTTCATTATATATTTTATCATTAATCATCATAGAGTAATAAAATCAATATTGTAGAATCGTTGTTGTTCAATGACCGTAGTGGCGAAATAATAAAAAAAAAACGAGTATAGTATATAAGGATGAGAAAGCGTATTAAAAATAAAGTTTATTTAGGTAATATTTTAAGATGAATATTGGAAATTTATTATTGCGTTTTTAAGTTGACATGAAACCTCGATGATGCCTTGAGGTTAAAATAGTATTTTTTTTTATTTGGCTGGTGGTAGTAGCTAATAGCCAAATCAAAGGACATTGCGCACCAGATTCGAGTTTCATCTGTTATACCATTACTCCATAGAATACAAGTACATCCAGATGAAGAGTTTAAAGTAGGAGGAAAACTAACCCCTGAATGACATTATTAGCCAACACTAACAAAATAATACAATGACTGTATATGATTATTATTATTATTATTATTTCCTCGGGTCCCGAGTGGAAGGAACATAGGGCTCCAATAGAACATCTCCATTTTACCCCGTTCCCTGAAGTTCTCTTCAGTTGAATCCATGATGTTTCATCTCCTCTTCACACTGTCGCCTCCACATCACACTAGGACCACCTCCCAACTCATCATTTCCCTTTTATTTTATTTATTTATTTTTTAAAATTACAGCTTGACTCCACACCGTATTTTTCTTACAGGTATGGAATTTTCAGCATGTGGTATTTGTAGCCTGAATTTCGCAGGCAGACCATTGATATCTGGTGTGCATCGGCAGGGGATGAAATCCCGGACCATGTGTATGGTCGATGAGAGTCCTAACCGCTATGCCACCGATGCACACTTGAGAGTTTGTCTTGCACACGATGTCACTGGACAGTCTTCTGAGTGTGTGTTCAGTAATCTCCATTTCCTTCACCGTATTTACTGGACAGAAGGTTCTTGGATGGTACTTTGCCTACCAGAGTTCTCGCCATGTAGTCTTCAGTATGCAGTGAAGACAGCTGCTGATGAAACTCTGAAGTAGACTATTGAAAATGCTTTTCTTGATGTGCAATTCAAGCCTCTTAACCATGTGGAAACACTGTCTAACTTGAAATTAATGTTAAAAATTCAAATCTAGTAGCTAATTCTGAATTCAACAGAATTCCACATTGATCTCGCTTTTCTGATCCTGACTGACTACTTTGACATGCTCATCCGTTGCACTAAAGAAATAACAGTCTTATTCTAAGTAGATTTCAGTAGTAATCAAACCTGAATAGTCAGGTTTATTATTTGTAGTTAACAAGCTAAGGTATTATCCATCATCATAGACTGAAGCAGGCTAATTAGTTTAAGTCAATCAACAGCAAGATATTAACTCTTAATATCTTTTATGAATGAGGCTGATACGTAGAAACTTTACGAAGTGATGGAGATTTTTGTTACACTCACAAGTGTAATTTTGCTAACGGTGACTGTTGTGAAAACCGATGGCCCGAAGTATTTACTGTATGCTCACCATTATCGATAAAGATTCTCAGTGTCAGTGAATGAATGCCTTTTCAATATTTTGTCAGGTTATTATTCGCTCTGAGGTTTCACTACATTTCAAGGAATGAAATAAAGACACTTATTATTGATTGAAAAACAATAATACCGAACTTGTTCCTCCTTCACAGATGATATCAGAGCACAAAATTTGACTTCTAGTCAATACACTTTTCTTACAGTAGAAAATTAAGTGACTGCAGCAGAAGATAAATATATCAGGTCAGAATGTCTCATTCAGGCCTTTTATGACTGTATATGACTATTTCACTTCATATTAGATGTGTACACTGGGGTAGAACTTATTAGATAAAAAATCGGAATTGGCATTCCTATATCTGCTATGAAGGAAATTCTTATGCGATGCACAGTGAATATTATTTTTTTTCATTTAACAAGGAATTCTATAGACAAATTGGTGGTGATGTAGACATGGAGTTGCTACTAGGAACTAGTCTAGCCGAGATTTTCATCACAAAATTAGAGAATGGAACTTTGAAATGTGTAATTGTTGAATTAGAATTCTATTCCTGTTACACAGATGACACATTTTTATTATGTGTAATGAGAATGAATGAAGCGAAAAATATCCTGAACAAATTGAATAATGTGCATCCAGAAATAAATTTTTCCATTGAGAAAGAAAGAATTGATAGTCTTTCATTCTTAGGAGTCCTTATGAATAGTGTGCGTCAGTGGCAGAGCGGTTAGGACGCTCGCCGACCATGCATATTGCCTGGGGTTCGATTCCCGGCCACAGTCGCACTCCTTTACCTTGCTAAGACAGAAATAATGCTGGTAAAGAGGAAAGGTTGGGCATGAGGCTAACAACCCCATCCTGTAAAAATAAAGACTGCTACAGAAATTTCAAGCCACTAGCTTGAAGCCCTCTGTGTTCCACTGGGAAAGTGAAGGAAAAAAAGGGTACATAAACGACTGTACATTTAAAAACCTACATTCACTGATCAGTTTTTTTCCAATTCTGATCTTAATACCATAGAAGCATAAATGCAATTTAATAAAGTGTTTGGTCCACAGAGCATGAACAGTATGCTCTAATGAATGCAGCATTTATTGAATGAAAATGGTTTTCCAGAGAACTTCATTGAAAAGAGTATTGAATTCAAAGACAAAGGAGTTTAATGCACTAGCAGTTCCGATAAAGACCTTGTTCACAGAATTTCAGTTCTTCAGTGATAAAGTATAACGTGAAATAATAATACAGACCTTAACAAGTGCAGCAAAAAGAGCATTCAGTGCAGAAGCTCATTATATCTTCAAGAGCACTCAAATTTTACGTTCAAAAGTTGAAGACAGACTACCTAATTTCCCTTCCTTTCTGTGCATCTACCGTTTTGACCTGTTTATCATCAGATTTCTGTAAGTCATCCGGAGTGGGGTTAAGCTAGGAACAAACAACTTCTGTTCGTAACTTTGTCCTAGCTCACTTTAGAGACAGTCAACATCAAGTGTATTTTAATAAGGCTTATAAAGTTTTCTACCTGCCATATTACAACTAATCTTAATTTCGCCTTACTGACTCTTCTTCTACATATACAGCTGAAGCTGTTGGAATCCACTTTATTGAAAATTATCTTTATGTTAAGATTATTGAAATAAACGCTACCTTACCTCTTTGGGAAAGTTAATTTATAGACGCATTTCAAATACCATAGAAAGCCCTATACACCAAAACTGAAAAATTCAAAAATAATAGTCATAACTATTAAAGGATTACATCTTGAGAGGATAAACTTCATAACTTACCTTCCCAGCTAAAATAGCTCCATTATACAATTCCAGTGATGCAGAACCACGTATTAAACTTCCCCCATGTATCCATACCATAACAGGCCGTCCACCTTTTGGTCCAAACACAGCACTACTTTCAAGCATCAGGGGATTGTATTCACCAGCACCAAACGTAGCAGCATCCAAATCATCATGTGTAAAATTATTACTGTTGGCTCTAGTCCAAATATTTAAGTAAAGGCAGTCTTCACTCATTTCTGTTGTATTCAACCAGACACGTGTCGTAGCATCAGTAAATTCACCTAAAGGTAGAACAATATCAAACGAAACCTGAATATATATATATATATATATATATATATATTGGTGTATATACATTTGAAAATTACAGGTTTGATTACGACCTAAATTCAGTTAGTGAACCATTGAAAAACTATTAAACAATAGTAGACAGCTGTCTCTTCCTTGCTTGAGACCATGACTAGAAGGCCCCAACAAGCAGGGTGTGAGGACAAATATTATTATTATTGCTGCCTTGGGTTCCTAGTGGAACATAGGGCTTCACGTCTCCACTTGCTTCTGTCTTCCTTCTACTGTACTTTTCACCTGCTTCCATGTTAGTCCATGCTGTTTAAACTCCTCTTCAAACGATCTCCTCCATGTCACCCTTGCACTGACGTCCCACTCGCCGCTTCCCTTTCGGTTTCCACTCGAGGGCTTGACGCGCGATGTCACCCAGCGGTCTCCTCAGTGGGTGTCCAACCCATCTATCTCCACTTCCTCCTGCATATATGTTGGGCGATTGGTTCTTGTTTTGTTTGTTCCCAGCCATAGTTTCTTGTTGGTGATTCTTTCCGGCCTGGCCGTCTGATCTTCAGTGTAGAGCGAAGACAGTTGTTAGCAAAGGTCTTTTGGAAATATTCTTTGTGACCCGCCAAGTTTCTGATGCGTATAGAAAAACTGACTGATTTTACGTTTGTATTGAAAATCCTACCGAATTTTGTTGTTGATGCTGGCTGAGTGACGAAGATTTCCAGATTGGTTTCAGGTTGATGAATGTGTTTCTCGCTCGCCTTCCCGATTCTCGCTCGATTTGACATCGTCGTCCGTTCCGACTGCCTGTAGTTGAGACAATGCTGCCTAGATAAGTGAGTGAATGAAGTAACCTCTTTCGAATCCCTCCCGTTGATGGTGATTGACGTTGGATGCTGTTGCTGTTGTTGGTTGGTTATTTTCACAACTTCCGTCTTGTCTATGTTTACCTGGAGTCTTGTGTCCGCCGGCTACTTCTTGGACCATTTTGTCGGTCGGTTTTCGCTTGTAAGTCTTCTATTTTGTGACAGTGACATCAAACATAAATCATCCACGCGCGAAATCAAGGTCTTCTAGGTTCTTCACGTCGGTCGGTCCAGGATATCCCTGTCTTCTCATTTCCCACTCGCTGTCTGACGCATAATCCAGTCAGTCCACCACAATTAGGAATATCATTCATTGGTGATAATAAGCCAGCACCCTTGTCTGACTCCTGTGTTTACTGCAAACACCTCGCTGAATTTTCCGCTGTGAATGACTTGACATGTTCCGTTGTCGTACAGCTGTTGAATAAGGTTGATGAATATTTGAGGCACCGTACGCCGTGATACTCGAGTAGTTTCCAAATTACTTGGCGGACAAATGTGCACCGATAATGTTGACTAACAGTCACGCTACAAGCCACGAATCGCTAGAAGTCAAAACTGATGGGTCATTGGGTTCGGTTCCAGTCTGTGTATGGCACACAATCCTTCTATATAACCTGAGTTAGTTCCCTTAAGCTATCTATGGTGTACATCCCTAAAGATCTCTGTGCCAACAACCAGCAAATATTTCAAAGGAAATGAAGATGTACTGAACACACGCTGAGGAGTCTGCTGAGGAATACCGCGCGTCAGGTCTTTCAGTGGAAGACGAATGAGAAATGACGAGTTGGGCTTGGATCAGAGTGTGATATGGATGAGATTGTGTGAGGAGGAGATGAAGACTTGTAGACAATCGTGCAACCAGTTAAAATGAGACTGCAGAGAAACAGAGATGTGATGTTGAAGCCGAATGTTCCACCCGAAACCCAGCGGAATAATAATAATAAGGATCATCTGAGTTCGATCCAATCATTATAAAGTTTACTTAATCAACTATTCTGGAAGCATTTAAAACGAAACCAAATTCTCTGTGAGCTTCTCACCCTTTTTGTAAGCTACAGTTACTTCAAACACAAAAAAACCCTATAACTATAATTCTCATATCTCTTTTATTTCCTATAGCCTTGGTTAATTTCAGGTAAATCTCACGAATCCCCTCTTTCTCAATAAGAAAAAAGAACTTAGCAGAATCATTTTTGCAAGCTATTCTTTTATTCATTTATTAAAACAATCCATGCGTAAACGAAATTTAGTCAATGAGTTTAGAACATATTGATACAATTGAAATCTACTTCATGTGGAACTAAACAATAAAAAAAAATTTTTTTTTCCAGTAATCCATTCATCAATATTTTTCTTTCAATATCTGATTTATGCATCTTTTGCTTGGCCAGCGAACATAAATCTTCCCTTAATTTTACTCTCTCTCTCTGTGTCTCCTTCTATAGCCATTTTCATTGTCATATTAGACACTCTGTGATTGGTTTCTTCAAAATAATAACACATGTACTCGTGATTTCTTCTTAATTGTAGACGTTGAGTATTGATCATTGCATTTACCGTATTTCTGAGCGTTTGTGTGCACATATGTCTAAGTGTGTGTATTATTATTATTATATCCTTTAATTCCTAGAGGAACATAGGGCTTCAGCTGCACATCTCCATTGCCTCCGGTTTTCTGCCAACTTTTTCACCCCGCTCCAAGTCTGCCCACATACTTTCATCTCCTCTTCACATGACCTCCTCCAAGTCACCCTCCCACTGACGACCGACTCGCCACCCGCTTCCCTTTTGAGCTCCAATCGAGCAATGGTTTGTCTAGTGATGTCACTTGATGGTTTCCTCAGAGTATGGCCAATCTATCTCCATTTCTTCCTGCCTATTTGTTTCATAATCGGTTCCTGCTGGGTTGGTTCGCTCATTGTCAGAGATCTCTCCCTGTTGCTGATGTTTTATGGCCAGCCATCTGATCTTGAGTACTGAGCGAAGACAACTGTTGATGAAGGTCTGAAGTTTGTTTGACGTGCTCTTTATGACGCGCTGGCCAAGTCTCTGATCCGTATAGTAGCACTGACTTCACATTGGAGTTGAAAATCTGGACCTTATTTTTGATGATGAGTGATGTTGACCTCCACACATATTTGAGAGTGATGAAAGTTTGTCTTGCCTTCCCAATCCTTGTTTTGATATCCTCGTCAGTTCTACCTGTGGTTGAAACGCTGCTTCCTGGGTAGGTAGGTGAAGGAGGTTGTGATAGGATCCCACATATTTTGGTATTGACTGTTTAATCTTGCATATATGGTATGTTATCATCCTCACACATTTTGGTATTGACTGCTAATTTTGTATATATGGTATATTATCATTCTCACACATTTTGGTAGTGACCGTTAATCTTGTATATATGGTATATTATCATTCTCACACATTTTGGTAGTGACTGCTAATCTTGTATATATGGTATATTATCATTCCCACACATTTTGTTACTGACTGTCAACCTCGCACATATGGTATATTATCATCTCTCACGCACTTTGTTATTGGCTATTAAGGTCAATTATTTCAAATGCTGTTAGCTGTCCATATTGTTGTAAAATGTATAAATACCATGGCTTTCTTTATCGTTGTTGCACTTCAATACACAGTCACAGTCCAGCCTTTGTCTTTTGATATTTGCGTGCTTTACTAAGTCGGAAGGTACGACGAGCAGATAGACAGATTAGTTCAGGCGCAGACAGAATAAGGTGAAAACGTCTTCATTCAATTCCCTACAGTTATAACAGGTTGTTTCTTTCAGGTTCCTCCCATTTATGCTGGCTGATTGTTGCCTGTTGTTGTTGTTGCTGCTGGCCAGGAATCTTCATCACCTACCTCTGTTTTCTCTATGTTCACCTGAAGTCCTATCTTCTTCTCTGGATGCTTCTTATGCCAACTTGCTGCTTTTCACTTGCATATCTTACAGTTTGCGGGAAATCAGACATATATCATCGGCGAAGTCCAGATCCTCCAAGTTTTCTGTGTGAGTCCATTTTATGCCTGTTTCCTCATTACCCGTTGTCTGTCGCATTATCCAATCTACTGCAATCAGGAAGATCATTGGCGATAGTAGACAGCCAGCCTGCCTCACTCCCGTCCTCACTTCGAAGGATCCCATGAGTTTCCCGTTGTGGATTACTTGGCATGCAGCATTGTCGTATAACTGTTGGATGAGATGTATAATTGTCGATGGGACCCCGTAGTAGCGAAGTAGTTGCCAAATCACCTCTCGATCGACGCTTCACTGTCGAAAGCCTTTCCAAAGTCGATGAAGTTGAGATAGAGAGCTGACTTACTGGCATTCCAAGCTTTGTTCAATGATGATCCGTAGAGTGGCGATTTGATCAATACGTGATTTGTTTCTCCTGAATCTGGCCTGTTCTGGTCGAAGTTTTTCATCTAGGGCTTATTTGATTCTCTCCAGGAAGTGTGTGTAAGCTATAAGTATCTAAGTGTGTGTTTAAGTGTGTAGGTGTAAGCTATTTCCTTTTGGTGGTAACTAGCAGTAGATTCCATAGAAAATGCAAAATTAGTCTGAAAACATATAATAAGTGATACTATTTGCAAAACAGGTAGCTATGGTGATCCGGACAGATAATGCTTTGCAGTTTGGAACTATGCGTATAGGATTTGAGTCTCAGAGTAACCACCATCACTCATAAAGAATAATTCAGATACTTCTAGATGACGATTAACAAACGGGATGAAGTGGACATCCTGGATTCCAGCGCTAACCACCACTAATCAAAATAACTTTATACTACTCCTCAGACATGGTTGAAACGTTCGTACTAGAAGCGGACTTGTCAAAAGACACCGAGCATTTCGGTCCAACACAATCAGGGGAATGAAGGGAAATGCAACTTAAACTGAAAACAAATTATAACGGCAGGAACTGTTGTTACCTACTGTTAGTCTTCTGCAGTACCTCTGACTGACTGACTGACTGAGTTTCACATAGAACTACGCATAGAAGTGCAGCAGTTTAAGTTGCCACACTTCATATACCACATGAGAAAGAGAGAAAAAAGAGGATTCAAAAAAACTTTTGTGAGCAGAAATGTACGGGAGAAAGAATAGTAACA